CCTTCCTCCCCTGGGTGCTTTGGACATTAACCTACAGATTGGGGTGTCGCTGGAGAGCTGGCAGCCTCAGCTCGAGCTGTCGGCGTGTCATGGGCGGGCGGTGTGGGGCCACGCTCACTGGTGGAATTTCTTGCTCGGGTTTTTGGCGTAGTCCAGCAGCAGCTGGCATGGTGTGAACTGGCAGCCGTACACGGCCTCATACTTGCGCAGCTTGTCCACCAGCTCCTTGGCTCCGTACGAGTCTGCATACCTGAAGGGACCTGCAGGGACAGGGGGACACAGTTGTGCCAAGGAGGGGAGAAGCACCAAGGGCGAGAGCACTGGATTTGGCTGCTCCATCATTCTCCAAAGGAGAACCCCAAGCTCCTGGCAGGGCAATGCAGGACCTGGTCCCTGCCTGCTCACCTGCACTGAGCTGACACGCTTGACTGCTGGGATTGCTCCCTTAGTTTGAGCTTGCCTCAAGGTGTGGAACATGAGGCATGGGGTAATAGCACTGTCCAAGAGCTCCCACTGTCCAAGAGCTCCCATGCCCAAGAGCTCTTGGTACCCTTCAGCTGTGACCCCAACCTCAGCTTGTGCCTCATCCATGGCCACGGTCATGGCCACAGTCACCCACCCTGGTTGCAGATGGGTCCAGGAGCATGCTGCCGATGCTCTTGCTGGGCCCAGCAAGTATCTTGGCCTGAAATGTGCTGTGCACCATGGCTGAGGTTGTCGGCTCAGCTTTATGTGTGCCATGTTATGACACGGGTGAAGCATGGGGTCCCGAGGCACAATTTCTCAATTCTACGTGCAGCATGAGACCAGGTTTCCAGCAGTGCTGTATGTGTGCCTGTGTCCTGGGTTCAGCTATAGCAGTCATTTTTTCTCCTTCTTAGTAGCTGGTGCAGTGCTGTGGTTTTGACTTTCAGCCTGGGAACAACACTGATAACACTGATGTTTTCAGTTGTTGCTCAGTAATGTTTACTCTGACCAAGGACTTTCTCAGTCTCATGCTCTGCCAGAGAGGAGGGGAAGCCGGGAGGAAGCAGAGACAGGACACCTGACCCAAACTGGCCAAAGGGGTATTCCATACCACAGCACGTCATGCCCAGTATAGAAACTGGGGGGAGTTACCTGGAAGGCCCAGATCACTGCTCGGGTCGGGCTGGGTATCGGTCAGCGGGTGGTGAGCGGTTGTGTCCTCTCCCCTTGTTATTCCTCTTATCATTATTATTGGTAGCAGCAGTGGTTTGTATTATACCTTAGTTACTGAACTGCTGTTATCTCAACCCGTGGGAGTTACATTCCTCCAATTCTCCTCCCCATCCCTCCGGGAGCGGGGGGAGGAAGCGGGGGGGAGTGAGCAAGCTGCTGCGTGGTTCCGGGTGGCTGGCTGGGCTTGAACCACGACAGCCTGCCCACCCAAGCAAGTAGCAGTGGCAAGAGATGAGACACCAGAGCCTTGTTTTTCACCAAGCACCGTATGGCTGCACAAAAGCAAGCCAGGGATTTCCTCAAAATGCAGGGCCTTCGCAAGTCCCCCATCCCACCTACACCCCATGACTATTAGGCATGACCCAAGCTCTTCCTTTGAAGTTCTCCAGGGAAGTGTTGATGAGGCTGGGGCCAGCAAGGCTCTGTGCTCTTATTCAAACCTGAAGACACAGAAAATGACCTGGTTGGAGTCCTTCGACCCCACCAGTCACAGCTCTGCTAAACAGCTATACCAGCAGAGGAACTCCACAGCGTCCTGGCCAGAACATCTGACAGCAGCTCTCAGGCTCACTGCCACCTCTCATAGGGTGGGAATGCTGGAGCAACCTCTCTGGCTCAGGCTTTACGCGGGAAAAGGACACTTGGGCTTGTCAGACTGCAGCTCAAACCTGGCCTTAACAGCTGGCTTGCCTCTGGTGCCTAGAGCTCACTAGCCAAGCCCACTACAAAGCTTTTGAGCCAAGCCATGCAGCCTAGCCCAGCTGAAACCCCTTACCTCCCAGGCATGGTGGGAAGCCCAAGCCGAACACAGCACCAATATCTCCCTCCACGGGGTTGCTGAGGATTCCTTCCTGCAGGCACATGGCTGCCTCATTCACAAACCTTGTCACCAAGCGCATCTGGATGTCCTCCTCAGTGCAGCTGCAAAGAAAGAGTCTGTAAGGGCTGTGCACGTAACTACAACTGGAGGGAGGTGCATGTGAAGCCAGCACAAATGGGAGACAGAGCCAGGCCAGAGGTAGAGGATGGTTTGTCATCCACGTGAGGATAAGGACTATGTTCTGTGCCATGTCCCAAACCAGGCACATAAGAATGGTAAAGGCTTGATCAGGTCAGGGGTGGGAGCCAGCCCACACCACTACTCAAACATGCACAGCTACTTACACTTCAGGATTGGCTGGCACTTGGAACCGTGCTAAGATCTCGTCCATGCCAGAATTGACGTTCCTGTTCTTCACCCCTTCCTGGTAAACATAAAAACCTTTCCCTGCCTTACGACCTGCCGGGGATAAAAAAAGACAGTCACATCCTGCCACACATCCCGTTTGCTCCTGACATCTTTGCCACTGATGATCTTGTGACTCCAGCTGCTGTTAGCATAAGTAGGTCCTTCCAGCACAGCCAGCTCCTCTGCACTTTGTAGCAAGCCCATTTACTGCCTCACCAAGGACAGAGGGAAGAGGTCCCATGTCCAGCCAAATCCTTGACTAGATGTTGCCACTGTGCCAGGCCCTAATGTTTTCATTATGCCCAGAGGACAGTAAAATAAACCCACAATTTCTGTGGCTACAGCAGCAAAAGGACACAGTCCTTGGGAGCAATGGACAGAGATGACAAGATCTGAAGAGCAACTCTTGCTGCCAGGAGTCTGGTCATAGCATGGGTCACTGGAGGATGAGAGCTATCATGGTCCCACTGATTGACACTGCACCATTTTAGCATGCTCAGAGCCACAGCTGCCACTGGCACCCAGAGGCACGGCTTCTACCATGAGCTTCTAAAGCTCAGCTCAGGGCTTGTTTCACCTGGGAACATTTATTTCCAGGCAGTTGCTCTTCGTGTCCCAGAGCACTAGTGCAGGTTTCAGGAAGGTGCCATAGAGAGGTCCACAAGATCTTGTCTGCTGCCTTTGCTTTGGGCAGCATCTTTGCCAGCTGCTGCTGGTTCTGCAAAGGAAGGTCTGGTTGCAGCCAAAGGTCTACCCAGGGTACAGCTGGGAGGGATTTCAGACCCATTCCCAGGGCTCTTCTCTGACTGCTTGCACCTGAGGCAGAAGAGGCTGACAGATACTAATGCTTTTCCTTGAACAGAGAAGGAAATGGGTTAAGACTAAAACAGCCTAGTGTCTCACCTAAGAAGCCTTTTTGCACCATGAGCTTGAACAACTCGATGTTGCCTCCTCCAAAGCGCTCGCCAAAGGCCTTGCCGAGGTCCTCAGCCACGTGTGTGGCCACATCCACACCCACCTCATCAACCAATGTGACAGCACCCACAGGAAAGCCGAAGGCTGTAGAGAGGGTGTCTATTTTCTTTGGGTCAATGCCCTCCTGCAGGAATAGAAGAGGAAGCAATGGTATCTCTGGCCAAGGGTCCTGAAACCAGTGTGGGGCAGAAAGCCCTCGCTCATCTGGGGCCATGGACTGCAAACAGTCCCATTAGCTATTTGATGACTGAAAGGACCAGTGTCATCATGCTCACACCACTCCTGACTCTCTGGTGCTCTGTAGGGAGGAGAGACCCTCGTCACTGCCTGCACCACATCCCATCAGACCACAGCTCAGCCAGTAGTGGGCTGGGGACAACCACAAGCACTGGGGCTGGTTACCCCCCCCCCCCCCCCCCCAGGCCCACCTGAGGTCAGCCTGATCAAGGGTAAGGAAGAAACAGAGTTTACACGATTATTTGGCAGAGGCTTGGTAGCTGACAGGGGACACACCTGGAGAACTCGGACCACTTCTGCCAGCATCGGCCCCAGGCACCTGGTGGTGTAGAAGCCAGGCCCATCCTAGAAAGAGAAGTGCAGCAGGAAGGAAGGTGAGTACAAACTGCAGGAGAGGTCAGCCTGATCAAGGGTAAGGAAGAAACAGAGTTTACACGATTATTTGGCAGAGGCTTGGTAGCTGACAGGGGACACACCTGGAGAACTCGGACCACTTCTGCCAGCATCGGCCCCAGGCACCTGGTGGTGTAGAAGCCAGGCCCATCCTAGAAAGAGAAGTGCAGCAGGAAGGAAGGTGAGTACAAACTGCAGGAACACGGCCCCTCTCAGCAGCACAAGAACTGCATTTCACAGCCCAAGCTGCAGCTCAGGCACTGACAAACAGGACAAGCACACTGAACTCCACTTCTAACAGAAAGTTACAGACTGCTAGGACAGGGGGGTTTTATCCTGGAGGGCTCAGCAGTGTTTGAAGACCTCCATGAACTCACTCCCTGGAAGTTCCCACCACTGTTTTTATTTGAAATAGTACCTGGAGGGCCCAAGCAGGCTGCAGAAGTCCCCTTGCTTCCCAAGCCCATCAGGCTGACAAGGGAAAGGGCGCTCAGCACAAGCGGAACTGGCACAAACTGGTTGTTTCAGCTCTGATATTGCTCACAAAGTTAGGAAGCAAGAGATTACCTGAAAACTGCCATGCCAGGAGGCATGTGAGGATGAGGGTTACAGAAGCAACACTGTATATCCACTTGCATTCAGAGCACTTTTGACAAGCTAGTTTTCCCAGCACCACTGGAGAGACCTGCTCAGCACTGCTGGCAACGTCACGCACCAGTGAAAAGACCAATCCAATAATACACTCAGCCAACTGCCCTGAGCCTACCAGATGAACCTCCCACCTAGCTCAAACAGCAGCACTGCTGAGCATGAGATCAGCTCCACTTGAAGGGCCATGTGTCCAACAGCAGCTGTCAGCCTGATGAACCACTTGAAACCCATGTCTTTTCTGAGGCTCTGCTGCCTCCTCCTAGAGACCACAGTTTGTTCTCAGCTGCTGCCTTGCTGTGCTCAGTCTTCTCCCTCTGCTTGGTATAGCTTTTTGCCTACACTTACTGTATTTCTGTACCCTCTCACACAAGATTTAGATCCAGAAAGTGAACGGTTACTGCTCACTGACCCTCAGTCCTTGCTGCCTGCCAGGGAGAAGAGGTGGTGAGAATCCTGCCCCACCCTGCTCCATCTCAGATGCCACTACATACTCAAGCCTCCTGGAAGCTGCGTGGAACAGGACTGCCAGCTCCTCGTGCTGGCTGATCAGACTGCACCTGCGCCTCATGGCCTTCCATGGCTGCTCCAAAGGACACTTCAGGGATCATTTGGGCACCTGCTACCTTCTAACCTCTATTTTTACTTCTCAGCATGAGTAGCTAATGCCAACGCACTCACATCCATATTCAGCCTCCTCAGTGCACAAGCCTGACCTTTTATTTATTATCCCAGCTTATATTCTGTGCAGTGCTCCCTCACCTTTACCACGATGACGACCTTGCCCTGTTTGAGGCCAAGAGCAACAGCAGAAGCAGCTGTGTCCTGGGATGTTTTGTCTGTGGTGATGATTTCCAGCAGCTGCATTCTGTCAACAGGGGAGAAGTAGTGCATCCCGATCACCTAGGCAAGAAGTTTCAGGTTTTATTACCACCACCAATAATAATAATGGTAAGGGAAATAACAAGGGGAGAGAACACAATTGCTCACCACCCACCGACCCAGCCCGACTTGAAGCAGGAAGAAGGAAGAGCTCAGGGTTAAGACAGGCTTTGGCTCCCAGAGTAATCTGCTACGCAAGTCAAGTGTCCAGATGCAGAGGGAAGCAGGGCTGCAGGATCCATCACCACTGCAGGATCCATTCATTCAGCCACACACTCCACTGTATCCCTCTCTGACAAAAGTGCTCTCCAACTCCCTTTCCCTCCTTGGCTTTCCCAAGGACATATCATATGCCCTACAGTTCTTGCCTCAGCAAGGATGAAGGTGTAACACAGGACCAAGAGTGCTGCTCAGCTCTCTTTGTACTTGTTAATAGTTTGGCAACAAAAGCTGTCTGGGAATCTCATCGAGCTCAGTCCCCACGCAAATCACAGGCACTGCGTGACTCCAGGTACTGTCTGAGCTGGCTGGGCGGCCACATGCCTGGGTAGTGCTCCTGCTGGACTTTCAAGAGTGGAACAGCAGCCACAGAGACAGTCCCTGTGTTCTGCTTGTCAATGATTTGTTCCTATGTTTTCACCATGAGAACCAGCCATTAAAATAATCTCCCTGGGGAAGTGGTGACTCCCCAGTGTTGGACACTGCTAAGATTTGTCTGGACAGGGTGCTGGGACATCTAGTCTAGGTCACGCTTTGCCTAGAAAGGTTGGATCAGATGATCCCTAAGGTCCCTTCCAACTTGGGATTCTATTCTATTCTATTTTTGACAATTAAGTGAATTTAAGGATGAGAAGGCATGGTTCAAGAAAATAAATGTGGAGGTAAGTGCAGCCTTCCTTTAGCAACAGCATTTAGGTAGAGATTATTCAGCTATGTGCCTCACTTTCTTAACATGACCATGTAATCAGCTTGTCACCTTCATGCCTCTGGGAAGCTACACTTGGTGCTAACATCTGTCAGACAAACACTTGCTGGAGAGAGCTGCAGACTCAAAAACTAATTAAAGAAAATACACTAATTAGTTAACCGATTTCCTATTAGTTTCCCTATAAAGAGCAATTATGCAGGCAATTTATAAAGCAAGAGGAAGTTATTTGCAAGTATTAAGAAGTAAGACTCAGTTTGCATTTCCAATGCAACTAAGGTCTGACAGCAAACCAGGAAGAGGCTCATGAAGGTCACAGGAACCTCTAACAGCTGCTCTTGACATCCTGTTCACACAGATCATCTGGAGCCAGAAAGAAAACCCCAACATCCCTGTAGCAGCCGATTCCATGGCTGACTAAAGCTGTGGTTTCAGAACCTCCGAGTTCAGCTTCCAGTCACTGACTTTCCTTTCCTTTTTGCTGCTGGGTTGGTGTCTTCTCCAAGAAGGAGGTGGCATACTCCCATCAAGGCAAGTCACTCCTAGGTCTAATCAGCTTACCAAATTAACTGAAGTTGTTAGCTGGAATCACTTGAGTCCTTCCATAGCTTCTCTGCTCCCATGTACATTAATGTTCCCTGGAAATGCGCTGATGTCCCTACTGCACCCTGCCTTGATAACATCACACTTGGGGTAAGTCTACCTTCACCCCCTTCCTACCTATCCAAAGATCGCAAGCTCTTTGTTCAACACTTGCACTGGGGGCAGAGGATGAGCTGTTTCATGTTCCGAGGAGGAAGTAGAAGATCACAGCGCTCACCTCGAGCAAAGACAGTTTGCCCCTAACAGGCAGCTTGGTGCAGAACAGAACAGACACATGGCACTGGATACTCACCTTCTCTGGCCTCTTGCTAACAGAAGCAATTTGGCCGATTGGGAGGGCAGATGTGTTACTGGCGAAGATACAGTGAGGAGGGATCACCTGTGGCAGGGGGTGGAAGAGACAGTGTAAACGCACAGGCTGCAGAGACAGGCCCAGAGTGTGATGTGCAAAGCCCTGAGATAACAGCACAAGCACCTGGCAATCCTGACAAACAAGGCAAACTTGATTTTCTCTATCAGCATTAGAAAGTAGTTCTAAAGCAGCAGCCCAAGTCAGCCATATCTGGCTTCCCCTGAACTCTCTACAGGTCTGCAATATTAGTTCAGAGCCCCCATGTTCCTGCCAGACCGCTGCAATGACATTAGACATGTCAGGGAGGGACTTCAGAAAGCTCTTTTACCATCCAGTTATTACCCCAAGTGTGCTCTTGAACAGAAAAGTGCACTGGTGGCAAGCTAGGGATAGCAGGTAAAGGAGTATAAATTGTGGAGATACCAAAAGACATTACTGTCATGTCAGTGCTCTCAGACAAATGGAACTATTTTTGGAGTGGTTCCCAGGAGTTAGCAAATAACAGAACTGCCCCATTCAGCTAAGAACTACTGACTCCTTACTGAACAGTGAATATTCTTAGGGAATAGGAAGGCTGCCCTTAACACTCACCCCTCTACTGACATAAATAACTTGCACCAAGCACCAAACTGCAGCACAAAGGAGATGGGACAAACCCAGCAGCACAGGACAGGACGCCCTGAGTCTCCACCACACAGGGGCCATATCTAGCACAAGCTGCTCAGAAACAATACTCACAGCCTCCACTTCCTTCAGCACTTTATGTTTGATGTTGATGTCCTCAAACACAGCCTCAATCACCATGTCTGCCTTCTCAAAGCCTTTGTAGTCCAGCTGGCCCTTAAGGTTGCTGAGAATGGAGTCCCTCTCAAATGATGTCAAACTCTTCTTCTTCACCTTGCTGTTCAGCCTAGAGAAGGACAGCCTTGTCATAGCTCCTAAGCAGGCCAGTCCAGGCTGCTGGAGGTGCACCACACCACTAAGGGCATCCCTGCCTCCCTCCTGGACCCAAAACACCACCTCCAAGCCAGCAGGACTGTCACTGGCCCCTCCTTCCATCTGGAAATAGAAGAGCCCTGCTCACACAACTCAGCTGATGCGTTAGTCCAAAAGTCAACTAGTCTGAAGGTCGAGAAGGACAAGGAACTACTGGAGTCCAGTAGAGGACTATGAAGATGATTAAAGGACTGGAACACCTATCTTATGAGGAAAGGCTGAGAGAGCTGGGCCTGTTCAGCCTGGAGAAGAGATGACAGAGAGGGGATCTAATCAATGCACACAATTATCTTAATGGTGGGTGTCAAGAGGACGGGATCACTCTTCTCAGTGGTGCCCAGTGACAGGATAAGGCAATGGCTACAAACTGAAACACGAGAAGTTCCATCTGAATACGAGGAGGAACTTCTTTACTGTGAGGGTGATGGAACACTGGCACTGGCTGCCTAGCAAAGCTGTGGAGTCTCCTTCTCTGGGGATAGCCAAAATCCACCTGGATGTGATGCTGTGCAACCTGCTCTAGGTAAACCTGCTTTAGCAGGGCCATGGGACTGGATGACCTCCAGAGGACCCTTCCAACCCCAACCATCCTGTGTTTCAATCACTGATATTCCTGATGATGCACAGCTGAGCACTATTATTGCTGAGCTAGAAGGACAGGGGAAAGAGATCCAGCTTTTCAGAAGTGTGGCCCAGTGCCTCCCCTAACATGGGCTTTTAGGCAGCCAGGATTACTCCCTCCCCCCTTAGCTCTATAAGCTACTACTAAATTTAAAAACTAAAGCAATGGTCTGTTAGGTCACCTACCTACCTAAGGAGCTAAGGCTGAATAGACTGGGCCTATTTTGTAGCAATATCCCAACACACTGCATAGGGCAACCTTACAAGAAAGCACTTCTGTGATATCTCATGGTAGAAGACTCCAGAGAACAGAAGTGTCTGGAATTCCTGACTGACTGAAAGCAGAAGAGTGTTTTCACTAAAGGCATCCCTATTCCATCCCAAGCAAACTCCTTTTAGTTCACGTACCCCTTGAAGATCTGCTGCTGTCCTCTGTCCAAGCCTTGCTGTGCTGTGTCCTTCAGAATGGTCTTCAGTCCTTTATCCACTGAAACCTGTGCAATGCCAGCTCCCATGAGCCCTGCTCCCAGCACTGCCAGAGTCCTGCACAGAAAAGGACGAGGGGGCACATTTAAAGCTAGAAATCACTGAACTTCCACTGCTGCTGACAGATTCTCACAGATCCTGTCCACCCAGGCACTATTTTTAGTGAGATCATGCAAGATTTCACTCGTGGCTGAGATGTCCCAGCTGCAAAGCATAAACTTTTGGGAGGCTGGAAATCTATCTGCACTGCTACAGTGCTTTTCAGGACTGCAGGCCACTAGCTCCAAAAGCAGAGTCCTCCAGAGGTCCTCTCTCTTTAGCAGAGGTCCTCCAACCACTCCTTCAGGCATCCCACACTTGCACTTACTTGACCTCTCGCTGAGGTTCTCCAAACTTGTTCTTCTTGCAGTGCACCTGCCCATGGTAAAGTCCCATCAGTGCTTTGGCTTCCTTAGTCATTGCAAGTTTGCCAAAGTTCTGGAAGAAAGGGAAGAAGGAAGCAGAGAGTTTGGCATTTAACAGCTGTCTCACTTCCAGCACACATGCATCAAAAACACGGCGAGGGGACAGCACAGCTACCCATGTAACTGCACAGACTACTAGCAGAGTTAGAAAAGGAAGAATGGACAGAGCATATGTATCCTTTGCAGCAAGGCACCTACTGTTCCAAGCACAGCCTGCTTTGCATCACTACCTCCCACATGGGCTGCCAAAGAGCAGTAGGAAACTGCTTGTTCAACGTCCTTTCCCATAAACACTATCATTTAAAGTACCTGAAAGAGCTTGTACCTCTAAGGCTCACATCTGGAGGCACAGGGGTTCTGCCAGGGAACAAAACCAGCCATGGCATTTCTGTGTCCATCTTCCTCCTACCCACTGAATCATTCACAACTCATTTCCACCCTCCCATCACAGCTCTGGGAGAAGCATTCCCTGGCAGTTCACTGCCATGATGGTAGGCCAGAAGCGACCCAGCTGCCTCAGCCAGCCAGCAGCTGCAGGGTCCTAAAAGATCAGTGCAGGAGCCACTACTAGGTCCACAGCAGCAGGACCGTATTTCACTTACACAGGACCCTTTTTCCCCTTTCTCCCCTATATGCATCCTGCAGTAGCTGAGGCCATTGCCCCAATGGCTTCCAAGTGAAATGGTCCTGCCCTTGGGCTTTGAGAAAAGTCTTTAAATAGGCCAGTTCTTACTGACAGCAGTAGCCTGGCACTATTTTCAGAGGATCATAGACAGGCAACAAAAACTAAGGCCTGCATAACCTCCCAGCACTCAGCATGAAATGGGAAAGTAGTCAGGAAGACAAAAGACAGCATAATGCAACAGAAAACTAATGTTGTCTGAGCCAAGTCAGCTAAGGAAAGCCACCAAAACAATGCAGTTTAGAGTAGGCTGTGTCTTCCTTCACCACTGTCCTGTGAGTTAGAGGCTTGTTAAAATATCAGAAACACAGAATCTGGAAGAGAATCTGCAAGTCTTCTATCCTAGGGGAAAGAGGGAGGCATCAGAAAAGACATGACATTGACATTTATTATTCTTTAGAGGGTTCTGGGAAGATCTCCATCCTGCTGCTGTTCTCAGGAAAACACATTCATTCTTTTCAGTAAGGAACAGAGTATCCTGAGCCTTTTATTCAGCATCAGACCAAACGTGGGTGCAATGCATAACCAGAACAGACGGGGTATACCCAGGAAATCACTGTTAAGGTAGGAGGCAGACAGTTACATCTCAGACCAGAACACTGTCACGAGAAGAGAGCCAAAGGAGCTACTAAGCATGACAGGAAAGACTGGGGAATGTGACAGAGCACCGTGAGAAGCTGGTGAAAGATACAGATAGTGCTGCGGGGGACAGATGGATTTCACCAGCAGTTACAGGACAGCGATGTGAGAGATGACCCAAACACAGAGATAACCAGATGGGAGCATTGTGGGTCTTCTGGGGAGTCAGGTCTTGCAGAGCCGTAAGTGTCAAGGGACCCACACCGGTGACACTGTGCACAGCCAGAATTACCTCTTCAGTATCAAAAGTAACAAATTTGAGTACGGATTGCGTGAGAAAAAACTAATTAGGGGCAGCTTGTTTATTAAGGCAAAGACAAGGGCAGAGAAGGGGAAGGATCAAGATGGGTGAGGACGAATAAGCATGGGAAAACAAAGAGTCTGTATGTGTGTGTGTAATAAAAGGGTCATGCATGAGCAAGCTGCCAGTGAGGACATTCGCTTGCTCAAGCCCTGTGTCTGCCCACCACAGTCTGTCCTACCTCCATATTAAACTTTATTCCTATCTTCCCTGAGTATGTCACTAGTAAACCTCAAGCCGGACTGAGTGGCATTTAGGGCACAAGGTCCATGTGCCAGCAGCTGATCAGACTGGGCCCTGTGGCCAACTAACTGTCAGATGAAATATCTACAGTCGGCTAATGAAGGGGTGTGTGCACACATGTGAACTTCAATTCTGATCAGGTGACCAGGGTGAACAGCATGAATCATCCATGCTGGCCATGCCCATAAGCTGTCTGTGTTTATGTGGGTGTCACCAGCAAAGGCACCATGCTGTCTGTGCAGCCAGCCGTGCGTGTCATGTGTCTGTGAATACATGTGTGCATGTACCTACACCTCTGCAGTAGGATATCTCTTCTATGATTTAATAGCTGCTCAGCCTCACTACTGGTTGGACCTACGCAGGGGAAAAAGCAGCCAGCAGAGCAAGAGATGAAGTCTTCTGGATCTTACATGCAAAAGACTTGACTACCCTTAACAGTGGATATTGGTGCTAAACACAACTGATGTGCCAGGAAAGTAAAGAATTGAAGGGAAAGGAAGAATGATATAGAGGCTTGTTTCACAGAACCACCAAACCACTGAAGAGTTGAGGTTGGAAGAGACCTGTGGAGATTGTCTTGTCCCACCCCATTGCTCAAACCAGAACAGGCTGCTTAGGACTGTGTGTGATTGGGTTTTGAGTACTGCCACGGAGGAGGACTCTAAAGTCTCTCCTGGCAATCTTCCCACATTCCATCACCTTTAGAGTAAAACAGTTGGTTTGCATATTTAAGTGGAATTTCCCATTTCTGTTTGTGTTCTTATTCTGCCACTAGAATGGAGAGAATAGAAGAGTGTAGCCTGGTTCCAACCCACTGTAAAGAAGGAGGGTTGGATTCTAGCCAGATGATATTTAAGGTCCCTTCCAACCCAAACCTTTCTATGATCTACACATGTTGATAAGGTCGCCCCAAGCCTTCTCTTCTCCAGTCCCAGGTCTCACAGTGTCTCCTTGTGTGCCAAATGCTCCCACCTCTAACCATCCTTGCGGTCCCTCACTGGACTCTCTCCAGTCAGCTGGCCCCAGCCTGGACTAGTGCATGGGGTTATTCCTCCCCAGGACAGCACTTGGCATTTCCCTTCACTCAACTTCATAAGGTTCCTGTCCACCCAGTTCTTTGGTCTGTTGAGGTCTCCCTGCATGGGCAATACTAGCCAGTACACTGACTGGAGTGGCTACTAAGTAGCTAAGTTTGACTAGGGGATAAAGAGAGAGAAGTCCTGTTTGAGGTGAGAAACTACTGTTGAAAAAACCCCACCTAATTTTCAGAAGCACTCAAAATTATCAATGGGTGAAAAAGGACCAGTACAAAGTATAGAAAACAGGGCAAACAGCAAACCAAGAATATTGGAGACTCAGCACCCTGAACAAAGATAATGGTGAAAAAGTGTGACAGAGTAAACAGAGCACTGGTAAAAATTAAAGTTAACTCTTGGAGGAAATGGCTTGTTTGCACCAAATTGTCTGGAAACACTGAGGAGACAGAGAGCACTACACCCACACCTCTGGATACCTGTCCTGTGTGACAATCACAAAGAGCAAACAGTGCTCAGACAGGTGGAGTAATCACAGTGCTGGTCGGTAAAACCTGTATTGGTGACCTCTCCCCGGTCATTCCCCACTCAGAAAGGTAACACAGACAGGAATAAGAAAAGGTACAAACTGTTTTCAGAGATGAAGAACCCTGACAAACAGTTCTATTGCTTAAGCAGGCGTTTTTCACAGCCCCAGTGCCAGAAGAAGAGGCATGGAGCAAGATACCATTCTGAGCAGCCCAGGATGAATATTATCCTTTGTGCGTGGTTAGACACAAATCCTCCTGACTACACAACTGACTAACTACAACCAGGAATCTAATCTCCTTACCTGGGATTCAGTGAGGTATCCAGCGTCATGCCCCTGATCAAGACCAGTCTTTACAACCTAGTCAAAGAAGAACAATAAGGATATGCCACTGTTTAGTCACATCTGCCAACATCTATGCTTTAATGAGATCACTTGTTTAGCTGCACCTCCTGTTTTCACATGTGACTCCTCTCCAATATTCAGGGCACACTTCAGACTTTCTGGGTCCTGTCCATGCTGTTCAAAGCAGAGCTATGGAACACCTTGTTCTTCTAGCACATAACAGCTACGATGGCAAGGGGGTTTCCAACAGGTTCATTTTTACACATACTTTGTGGTTTCAGGAATTGATTTTCAGTAAGACTGTGCTCCTGTAATGACCCTGCTCTCAGAGTCAGACTGGGGCATTTGCAGGTTTATAGAACTCTTGGCAACAACGTAAAATAGTGAAAAGTCATTTTAAAATAATAAGGATTCAACCATGGACTGTGTCTGTAGGTAATTCAATGCCCGTGTAACTCGGGGAACTAACTTTCTAAGTATGGCGTGGTTCATGCTATGAAAGCAGTAATTTGTATTTTCTTAGCTTCAAACAGGTTCACCCAACTCTTTAGAAACTGTGTAAGGAAACCTGGAAAAACTGCAGCTGAAAGTTTCATTCAGACAAAGTATTCCAGCTAAGCCTCCCCTCAACTGGGATTCTTGATCTACCCCTTACTGGCACCAGTACCACCTAGATTAGTGATTGTATTCTGGGAAGATATTCTGAAGTTTACTATGCTTGCTTGATGCACCACACGGGCAGCATGCACCAAAGCTGATCTGCGAAGATCAGGATGTAAGGCTTGACTCAGAGAAATGAACCACCTTCTCTCCATGTGTTGCCATGTTATCCCACAGCTCCACCATCACTATAGTTTCTTACACCTCACAGTGGGGGTTACCTCAATGATCTTTACTGGAGCGGGGTAGAGTCCTTTGGTTTGTTTCTGAACTTTGCTTTCCACTGTCTTGTACACTTGCTGCCTCACAAATGGAAGAGCCATGGCATAGTCTGTTATCTCTGCAAGATGGACAAAACATGTCTCAGCATAGTGCTACATGCACAATCAGCCTTTAAATAGTTAACCAGGAGTATAAGAGTGAATGCTGCATATCTGCAATAGAAACACAGAAAGCACCAGAACCTCAGCCCCAGGTAGCAGGGTCTGCTCAGGAGGATTTCTATGGCTTGTTTCACAGACAAGTCTCATTTAGAGCTGAGTATCCTCCCAATACAAATACAAGTGACAAACTGAGCTCTGGGGAGCAGAACTTGCACAGAGATGTCACCATTTCTGCCCTCTAACTGCATAAGGGCTCCACTAATGAGGATCAGTGCAGAGCAGACCCATGTGCCTCTTCCCATTTGATTACACAAACTTGGTACAGAACTTGCTACTAAAACTTTAAAGATGGGTAAGTCCTCTGGAGGCAGATGTTGATCTATCTCTTCATGAAGCTTGGCTCCCTTCTTCAGGAGCAGTACAATGTGCAGCTCTGGCAATGCCACCAGAAGATACGCAGAGCAATGTTTTCTCTACCAACTCACCAGGCTCAAGAGATGACTACAACACGAAACAACTTCATTTTGCAAATGGAATTAAGTAGGAGCACAAACATAGACATGTGAAGGAAAACTGGATTATACTCTCTACAATCCCTTGGGATTTGCCATAGTGCCCACAGACTTACTCTGTATTAGCCCTTTGGATCTTTTGGCAGACACAGTCCTGTTGGCTAGACCTCTGGCAAAGCCAATGGCCACCTCCTCTAAGTACTCAATTGTTCGTGTTTCTGGAGACTTCATACCCGGCCCTGTGAATAAAAAAAGTCTTGAGGACATGCAGCAGCAGTTATCACTGATAGCTGAGGATGCAGAGAAGCAAGGATGAGACTAGCAACATGACTTCCTTTGAATTATCACCACTCTATTCCCCACACCTGCGTGACTTTTCTTGCTGATGAACAATGAGGGAAAGGCTCAGACAATTACTGGAAGGTCCCAAGGCATTATACACAAATGCTGAAACACCAGTTCCCAATGGGAGCAGATAGCATTATGCTACTTAAACATGAATGCTACTTTCACAGAACCATAGAATAGCTTTGGAAGGGGAGATGGGAGGCCATCTACTCTGACCTGCTGCTCAAAATGGGGCCAAGTTCAAAGTTAAATCCAGCTCTGGAATTAGATCAGGCTGCTCAAAGACATACTCTGCCAGTCTCTGAAGGACTCCAAGGGTGGAGGTTCCATCACCTCTCTGGACCCTTGTTTCAGCACCTGACAATCTTTTTGCAAATTGTGCCCTTTATTCCTCAACCTTCTACTTCATGTAATTGCAGGCAATTCTGAATCCCAGCAGAACTTTGGTGTGCTGCCTGCCCTCCCCTCTTGCTGCAGCTCTTCCTTCTTACATAGTACGGTAAGTCTGTACAACACTGTTGGTGTTAAATATACAGATGACAGTTGCAAAGCACCGTGTTCCTGCAAATTACCTGTCCTGGAGCTGATGCCCAGTGAAACCTCCACTTCTGGTCTCAGTTGCAGGAAATCTCTCACTTGCTTTAGCTAGGCGAACACCCAGCATAACTTAGAGCTGTCCCACAAACAATGAAGCAAGCCATCACAAAATGAGTTTTAGCAATCTCTGATGGTGGGTTGCACCATTTCGAAGCACAGAACTGGTATCATCACACAGGAGGATGGAGTGCAGAGCTGAAAAGGCGGTTGTGTGAAATTGCTAGAGGCACAGTGAGTCACTAACGAAAGAGCAATGCCCAGTGACTCTGCATGCGGCACCATGCCGAGCCTGCAGGTAAAACCACAGCCTTGGGCTGCCTCTGAATTAGCAAAACAAACCTGTTGGGGTTACAACTCTATATCATACAGCTGCATGATCTCATTAACCTTCACTGTAAACTGCTACAGCCATACCCAGATGCTCCAGAGTCCTCACAGCAAAGAAACCATCAGAGCAGGCAACCACTCCCTGACAGAGGAGACAGTCAAACAAAACCAAAACAGAAACCCCCTCTTCTTTCACCTTCCACTATGCTCTCCCTCCACCAAAAAGCTGAGGTCTTGATAGAATCACAGAATGGTTTGGGTTGGAAGGGACCTTAAAGCTCATCCAGTTCCAATCCCCTGCCATGGGCCGGGGCACCTTCCACTAGACCAGGTTGCTCCAGGCCGCGGCCAGCCGGGCCTTGGACACTGCCAGGGAGGGGGCAGCCACAGCTTCTCTGGGCAACCTGTGCCAGGGCCTCACCACCCTCACAGGGAACAACTTCTTCCTAAGATCTCATCTCAATCTCTCTCTGTCAGTTTAAAGCCATTCCCCCTGTCCTGTCCCTACAGGCCTTTGTCAAAAGCCCCTCTCCAGCTTTCTCGTCAGCCAGTTTGAGTACTGGAACCTGCTCTCAGGTCTCCCCTGAGCCTTCTCAGACTGAACAAGCCCAGCTCTCTTGGCCTGTCTCCATAGCAGAGGTGCTCCAGCCCTCAGAGCATCTGACTCGCTCTGGACTCGCTCAAACAACTTCTGTTTCAGCTCTCCTTGCATATAAATCTTGAGAGCATATACTCAGCAGACCACAGATGCTGCTGCCTGCTGGAGGGTCTCTCCGCAAGAAGCAAATAAAGCAGCACATACATTTTGACCAGATCACGAAAGCTCGCTGTTGGGAAGTCTCACTCATGCCCTGGCAGTATGACAAAGCCAGTCCAGGGGAAAACAGTTCAAACAAAGCAACATCTTTCATTTTACAGGCAACACAGAAAAACTTAATCCAGAGCTGCTGCATAATCTACATTTCAGCAATGCCCAGGGGATTTGAGAGAATTTCTTGGACATCTGAGAGCATTTGGGATTTCTGAGCTCAAACCTTACTTGCTTCCAAATTATCTTCCCACCACCAGATGCGAATACGTGATTTCCCCCTTCTATTAGCTTGGGTGTTCAACACCAGCAAGTGCTGAACTTTGATACTATAGCTGAAGAATAAAGCTGTTTATTTGTAAGTCTGAGCTGTAAAACTACTCAGGCAAGGTGGTCAAACCCACGTACGTGGGTTTACTTTACTTGCAGTTACCTCCCAACATTTTTCTGTGTCCTAACCCGGGAACTCCAAGCTGTCGACTCACATCTGCTTTCTTATATAAATGGCACATGCCAGAATTAGATCTGGGCACAGTAGTAAATACATCAAGAGCATGCTGTAGAGCTCCCTACTGAAGGAGAGCTGATTGCACCCCACGAAATTGCCTCCTGATTAATGCTGTCTCTCTCCTTCAAAGCTTTGTATAATCAGTTAAAGCATCATCTCCCATTTAAAGCTGATTTCCCCCCAGACATTCAGAATGAACATGAGAATACGCAGGAGAAAGCCTTCTGGCACTGGCTGCTATTTGAATGAACAAGAAATGCCTCTAATGCTTGCACATAAATTGTTTTTTGTGTTCCTCCTACACGCTTATCTGGTCTGAGCTAGGACTGCAAACAACTCTTCAAAAAGTTCAGGTTTCCTTCAAGGAAACCATTGTAATCATCGGTATAAAAAGCCACACTGGCTGTCTCTTAAAACCCAATTCACATTTGAGCAAGTATACAGCACTGAAGTTTACTCAGGCTATTTTTACTCAGGCAATTTTAACTCAAGCCTGGGTACCCCTGATCTGTTCTGTAAGTGAGACTACAGCTAAAGATCCAGCTGAACACCAGCATATGAGAGAGAACAGATACAAAGGCTTCCATGGCATTTCTCAGGGTAAGCAGCAGCACCTTTCCTTTTTGTTTATTTCATTTTCTCCTAAGCTAAGGGCCACCAGGGTACTCTGGCCATGCTCTGCCAGAGGAAACAAGCTCAGCACCCTGCTACTCTGTGGCAGTACCAGCTGACACAGTGGTTTCCAGTCTAACTCCTGGCTGCAGCTGCTCAGACCTTTCAGAGGAGACTGTGGGAGGGCTTGCCCCTTCATTTAGTCACCTTCCATGAAAGCTGCCCTAGGGAAGGAAAAGCAGAAGCAAGAAACTATTCACTAGCCCACTCAGCACATGGAAATACGCATTTTGCAAGGGATTTCTCCATCCAACTGAAAGTTGGTTGACAGTTCAGAGCACCTAAGCCATGGGGGCTGGCTTCTTCTCAAGATCTTGTCACAGAGATTAACATCTGCAGCCTGCATAAACGTAAACATTGGTCATTTATTCTCCTTTCATTATGGGTAGCAATCTGTCCCCCTGACGTGATAAATGAGGAATGCAGGCTCTTATCTGTATAATTAGCTTATGCAAGAGAGCCAGCAGCAAGCTGCCCTCTACACTAACCTTTCTTTACTCACTTAGCTTTAGCAGGAGCCTGATATTTCAAGGTTCCCATGCACATGCTTCTGAAGTGGGAATGGAGATTGCACTGCAGAGCATGGCAAGGACTTTGAAGTCCATGTGCTTTGCCCCCACCAGTGGTTTCTTCACCCACTTCATTAAGGTGGTAAACAGCAGATAAAGAAACTGAGAGGAATCACGTCTGACCTAGCGAGTCCACCAGCTGGTCAACCAGACCCATCTTCTTTGCTTTGTCAGGACGGATGCTTTTTCCAGTCAGCATCATATCAAAGGCAGCAGGAAGTCCCACCTGGACGGGCAGAAAGGGGGATTTCAGAATGGGAGCATGCCATGCAGAAGGGAATACTAAGTGAAGTTCTTCTCTTACTTACCAGCTTCGGCAGCCTCTGAGTAGCCCCTGCCCCTGGCAGGATACCCAGTAACACTTCAGGTGCAGCCAAGACTGTTTTCTTGTCCTTTGTTGCTATTCTGTAGTGACAGGCAATGGCAACCTTAAGAAGAGAAAAGAAAAATAAGGGTTTCCTTGTGAAAGACCACAGAAGAACTAGGTGGACATCCATCGCAAAGGTCTCTTCTACACACTGGCTCCACTTTCGTTCTGCCACTACCCCAATTCCCCAATTCAACTGCCCCAATTCCCTCTGCTCACTGATGGCTGCTTCTGGCAGAAGTGCACATAAACAGATGATAGCAACCAGCTGTGACATGAACATGAAATACCAAACTAAGCCAAGCTATTTTTAAATCTCATCTAGGCCAGTAAGAGTTAAATTCACTGATTACATTGAGAGCATGATTCCACATGCAGATCAGCCACGATACTTAGTTTATCACTGGATCACCAGGTCTAGATCCTTCAACACAGTGCTTGTTAAAAGCTGTGACTGCTTGAGTGATCAGTGTGCAACTGAAGAGACTCCATTCACACACGGTTATTCTGTTTCAGTAACAGCTTTGCACCAAGAATTACCCCAGAGTCCTTCAGTTTACAAAATCCTAAATGGAGATTATGAAACAAATAGTGCACACAGCCGAAGTGGCAAGTGAGAGAGCAGAGTACACAGGCCAGGGTGGAGCCTGCCCAGGTTACCCATGCTCATCCTGCTCACTACAACCTCTTAGAGAACAGAGGTTGCTGGGATACAAGACTCACAATCAGAAAAGCAGCAATTTCCAGCCTAGACTCCTCCAGCAGCATTTATCCAGATCCAATGCCTGCTGGAAACAGCTGTTTTTCCCTGGGACGCTCTCATCTAAACATTAGCCTGGCCCACATGGATTCATATTTGATTAGCTCTCAACAGAAGCAGAAAAATTAGCATGGCAGAGTCCTGAAGCATAACTAAGCCATTAACTTGCCACCAACTCACTTGAATGGATGTAATGAACCCTCATCAGGTCTCAAATCCCTCTCACAGTAAGCAGTCCTGCAGGCAGCATTGGGTAGTTTATAGAGTATCAGCACTATCAAATCCCACTCCTGCTTGTCAGACCCAGAATTGTGCAGTACCTCCAGTCCTCCTCCCAGGCAGGAGCCACTGATGGCAGCAACTATGGGCTTTGGAGACTGCTCAATTTTTTCTAGCATCTTCTGTCCTTCCTGAGAAAGCTGAGTCACTTCCTCAGCAGTCTTGCAAGCTTCAATCATGCTGCAGTGAGGCAGAAAGGCTGATGAGAATTGGAAAAGCACTGTGAAAACAGCAACAAAATGAGTGCTTCAAGGAGTTTGTTCCTTTTTCCCCACAAAGCTCCAGTGATTGACAGAGAGGCAAGAGCTACTTAGCCCCCCAGTCTTAGATTAACAGACAACACAGGAAGACTACTAAATTCAGTGTGTTAAGTCACTGCACGCTGACACTGGGCTATGCCTGCAGGCACTGAATGAGTTTCCTTGTGTCAGAGCTTTGAAAGCCTTTGGGAGAGAGGAGAAAGGGTCATAGGAAGCCTCAAAGCACTTGCCAGAAAGGGTGGAGGGGGAGAGCCCGGGATCACTTTTTAGAGGAGCAGATGGCCAGGGCTCTGATGTTGCACTCTGCCAATTAGAGGCTCCCTGTGCCAGTTATTCTCACGGAGGCCAGCAGTGCTTGCCAGGCTGGTGCAGTTCAGGAGGCTCCTAGCATTGAGACCATCAGACCCCTCTTAAACACAGCCTGTCTTTTTGCTCTGCTTACCAGCTCTGCTTCCTTCCCACTACATCATGTATCAAATCTCTGCCCCTGAATAAGGCCAGCCAAAAAGGTTTTAATGGGTGCCTCTGCAAACTGCCTACTTTCCTCAGAGCTTTTTGGCTTTTAATGACTTTAAACAACTATTTTGTCAGGCCCAGTGTCAGGACTAGGAGCAGTGGTGCTCCAGATCCCGGTGAGAGCACCCATACAGGTTGTCCCACACCCTGCTGAAGCTACCTGGGCTGTATTGCCTGGGAGGCTGCTCATGCTCCTCATGGCAGAGTGCCAAATCCTGCTAATCAAGGGGCCATGCTGGCAGACTGCCAGGCACTCAAACCCGGCTTAAATGAAATCCTGCATGTAAATTACCTGCTCTTCTTGTATCCCAGACCAAAGGACCCAAAGCCAGCATGAGTTTTCTTGGCTACACCTCAGTATGCAGGAAGGAGTGACCAAGCGTTACTGCCAAATGTGGTTTAATGACTTGCCATGTTCCTCTTTATGGAATCATAGAATGGTTTGGGTTGGAAGGGACCTTAAAGCTCATCTAGTTCCAATCCCCTGCCACAGGCAGGGACATCTCTGACTAGGGCAGGTTGCTCCAAGCCCTGTCCAAGCTTGGCT